GTATTCACTTCCCCGTGCCATTTACTTTACTTTGCCTTCATAAAGAGGAAGAAGCGGGTCTAAAATCCATGCCACTCTTTTCTTCCCTTTAACGAGGCTGGTTTTTCAAAGTGTCAGGACAACATGGCCTTCTCCTAACAGGCTGGCTCACTTGGATCTGGTGGACACAGGGAATGCTAAAGGGGACCGTAGCTTCTTCTCTGTTTCTCAGCCAGTGGGCATTCAGAGCCGGGTCTGTGGTTTGCCTCAGCAGCCGTGCAGGTCTCCTTGCACCAGCGTTTACTTTTAACCCAAGTTGGCCGTAAAAAGCTGACCCTGTGTCTGTTGCAGTTGACGTCCACCACTGACGGCCGTGTCGTTAGTTTCCGGTAGTGAGACTCCAACACCCGAGTCAGCCGAGAAGGGAGATATTTTGGCCGACCAAGACCTTGCATTATCACCCCCACCCTGTTCATCTCACCCGGGGAAGCGTTTGGCCACCACCGTCATGCTGGCCTTGAGGTCTTGTTTTTCCTTTCATGCTCTGGTCCAAATGTGGACACTTCATTTTTCACTGACTTGGTCTCCTTGAGACAGGCCAGACTTACTGAAAGAGTAAGTGGGGAACAGAACAGAAGTGTCACAAGTAGAAGGAGTCTAGGCTGTCCGAATTGGCAAATGCAGGCTGGGATCTGTGATGGCCGGGCTGTGCCCTGGATGCAGGCCTTTCCCGTGGCTACTGAGAGCCCCAGGGTCAGAGTGAGAACAGCCCTGCCTGGGTTCCTCCATCCTCATCTGCTCACTGGCAGGTGAGTCTGCTAACTAGGAGCTCCCCCAGACCTCAGGCCCTTCAAAGTTCTAACAACGGGAGAACATTGAGTCCCTTCTCCTGGGCCTCCTTGGTGAGAATCCAGTGTCTTCTGAGGTGACCGGCGGCAGGAGATGCCTCCCCCTCCAGGGAGCACCGTTCGGAGGACTGTGACTCACTTCACCATGCTGTGAGCTTGTGGGGTTCCAGCTGTGGTCCCTACAGAACCAGACTTGAGATGGGCTTAGCGACGGAAATAACAGGACTGATTCCAGGGCCGGGCATGGGGAGGGAATAGGGGAAATTGAATGTGACTTCAAACACCTAGGTGGGTGCTGGGGCTGTTACTAAAATGGGGAGCCTGGGAGGTAACTGTCAGGAAAGAAATTCCAGAGTAACTGGTGGACATGGGGCATCTTTAAGATGCCATTTGTCATTCAAGTTAGGACTTCAAAGAGGCATTCGGCTCTATGAGCC